AATATTTTCTATGGTCAATATCTTTCTGGAAACAAGGGGACTGATCTAAAGTTCACTGAAGTCAACAGAAAGACCACTGGACTTTGGATCAAGCCCATAGTGCTAAAAACTGGACAAGAGTTATCTAAAGTAGGGGAAAAAGAGATTAATATGTCAGTTGAAGAGTTACAGGTAAGCAGGGGCAAGTGTAAAACACCCCATATTCCTAAAGGCATGATGGTTTTGGCTTGGGGCTTGCTAAAGAGTGATGCAAAGTAAAAGTGAAACCCTGACAGTGCCTCTCCTCTCCAGTTCTTAAGCATGCACAAGGACAAGGCCAGTCTGTCGCAACCTATCAGAAAATTATGATAAACACTAAACCAACCACAAGCCATTGAGCAAGATAGCATTCGCTTATGTAGTAGGGAAGAATAATTTCCCTACAGCAATTACTAGGAGAAGTTCTACGGCCTGTGTCATGTAGGAGATCAGACTAGATGATCATTGGTTTGATTATCCCACATCTGCCTAATCTGGAGTTCTTACATTTTTCTCTGGAGTATCTGGTGCTGGCCACAGTTAGACAGAATCCTAGGCTAGATGGACCCCAGGGGGTCTGATCCAGTCTGGCAATTCCAGCGTCACAGAGGTCCCTTCTGGCCTTCAAATCTATGACATCAGTTCTACTCACCGAAGAGATGAAGTTGGAGGCTGTTGTTGTCACCGTGGCGGTCGCTGAGGAAGAGGAGTAGTGGAGGGCTTTTGCAAAGAAGGTCCACATGACAGCATTGCATGCAAACACCAGACCAACACATCCTACTCGGAGCACCACGTGTAACTGCAGAAGGGGGGATGGTGGAAATACAGATTTTTTTCACTGACAGTTGACTCTCCCAATTATTTTGCAAATACGTTAGGCAAAATAAAATGTCACAAGCTGTGAAATGGCCTGGACCTGAATTACAAACGTTATTTTGTGAAATCTCAACTCTTGTGTTTCTATATTTACTAATATACCGTATAAAAAGGAGGCAAATTACGAAGACTGTTCTGACATTTTAAACGGATGATACATTAGAGGATCCGATGCCCTGTTTTTTCCCTCACCATTAAAGAACGGAAATCTGGAGAGTGGAAAAAAGACACACGTGGGAAAACAGAACGGTTGCCCTTCTCTTTACCACCTACCACTGAATGAAGGAGAATCCCTCAGTAAGTGCTTGATCCTACAAGATACCAAGTGCCATCCACTCCTATTAGCTTAAGAATCATTTGATGGAGCACATAACCCTGTAGATGTTGAGCTTCTGAGCAGACTTGGGGCTTCAGAGAATGTCAGTTTCTCAATTTCCTTGGCCTAGATTCCTGGAGAATTAAAATCTCCTACCCTCCAACTGCATCCAAGCTCCACATGTTCTTTATCTTGTGGTCAGACTCTAGTTCCTGGGA